AATCAAAATGACACCTGAGGGCCTATTCTATATTTTCGAATCGTTATTATCATTTTGTTAAAACCGAAGCCGTGATAATTATCTATGCATAAATTATCGAAAAATGCGTTACTTTGGGGTCTTGTTATTGGCCATTTCGAAAATAGATAAAATTTCATTTTCTTAGAAGTATAATGTTAATTATTACGAGTACTTCCTACTACATTTGTCATATTGAGTCTGATTAGTTCTCAATTCGAAAGTTTATTATATAATTTACCAGTCTCCACTGTAGGTACACGTCGTGCCTGTGATGTGGGTCCATTATCTGTCTGATCTCACGAGTTGCACCAAAAAGGGTACATACCTTTACACAGACCATAAACAATGTGTATTACATGTAACCAGGAAAAGATAAATTGCGAGGTTTCTGAGTAGCCTGGTAACAGAAATTAACGTCATATTTTTTTCAACAAATTTTACATTCTAATGAACAAACAATGAACTTAATGCATTGCAACGAATCGGCGACATTTATCTCTCTATGATTATATTGCCAATAATATACCTATATGCGAAAATACTGCGGCTATAACCTTTTTACATCGATATAAGTTAGCTCTGAGATACAATGTATAGATAGAGTATGCATCGCGCTTACAAATTTTCAATAGCAACTTAATAATTATCACAGTATCAATACCAAGCCCGAAGGGAGAAAGTTTCTGTTAGTCTTCCTTATCTTTATCAGAATGAAATCATCCCACTGCAGGGGCTCAGGCCTTCCTCGTAGATAGTTAAAGAGTATGGGTCATAACCCTCCGCGCGGGTCCAATGCGGATAAGAGGGCATTAACGACTGTGGATGCAGCCGGGATAACGGCACAACGTACCTTCCTAAGCACGGAATAGCTCGTGATAATAATTTTTTGGTCACCCAACCTGTGTCTGACACTTGCGAAAATTGCTTGACAACAACGATCACGAGCTGTGGCTGTTATCTACTACGCCACTGAGCTACTCCATAAACTATAGTAGGTAATAATCCACACAAAGTAAACGAGTAACAACTACAAAAGAAAACAAATTTCTGTTTGAAAACAACTTTGATAGCAAATAAAATCACGGAAACAGCAGTTTTAAAGACTTTATTAATAATCTTAATAACAATGGGTGGCTTGTCTGAATATTAATGAAAATACACTAGTAGTAGCGAAAAGTAGTTGAAAAATTCGTCGCTTCTGTTGTCTCGGGTAGTACCTACAATGGTTTGAGCAGTCGCTCGGATTACGAAAAGTTGTACGGTCGAGTCCCATCTTGGGTCCTCCTTCTCCCCCATCATCCCATCCTGCCTCGTGCCTGGGACTGCTTATTTTTTTAAGCATTTTACATTAAATTACTTATCGATATAGCATTATGAATGATTGACCGAGTATGATCCTAATAATTTTACAATCATCAATTCGTGTTTAGTCGTAAAATGGCTAGCAAACATCAAAATATTGATCAGAACATAAAATCAAAGTTAAAATACCGCTAGGGTTGGCATGTAGTTAAAATTAAGCAAAAGTTTAAAACGTTTACAAAATCAAGTATTTAAAACGAAAGTCTGAAAATATCCCCTTACTCTATAGTTCACTCGGTTAAGTGCCCCTACGGTTTGTCTGTGGCAATTTAATTAAATTAATTGCTTAATTAAGCTTCTTTGTTGATGCCGTGGTGTGTCGTCTCGACAAATAACGTTTGTTTGTAACACAAACATTTTACATCTATATCTTTTTGTTTGTTTACAAACTTTTGTGTACAACTTCGTCTGTGGAGAGTTTGGAAGTACGAACCTTTTAGTTAAATAAAATAGAAATTAGAAAACATCACATGTAATGCCAGGTAATCAATGGCGCGTGGTTAGCGCGTTCGGACTGCGATGCAAAAGCGACTTTCGTATAGGCCAGTCGATAGGATGGGTGACCAAAACTTTGTTATCCCAAGCTCCGTGCTTTCTCTCTTAGTCGGTTGAAATTTATTTGTAGTACCTCCCAGACAGCATAACTTTTTCTGACATTTTAACAATCTTAACCAGTTATACATTTAAATATTCTTCCATCAAATTACTCTATCTACAAATGAAAACCGTATGAAAATTCGTTTAACGCTTTTTGCATTAACAGACAGACGCGTTTTTATAATAATCATTTTTTTATATCTTCATGCATTGAATCTCCTTGACGTTCACTTGTTATCAAATTCTCTTGTACATCTTTTTCCACTTTCCGTATAAGAAAAAAAACACAAAAGAATTCCAGTCAACTCCCCAAATAACATGTAAGATCACTTTCCTATATAGTATTCGCTTCAGGCGAAACTGTATCTCCTATATCCGTATTAGAAAGCGCAAATAGAGTCGAAAAGGCTCGATTCAGCAAATCGGCTCACATTATAATACGCTGCCAGCATACGAGGGGGCGATCCCAAGAGAAATAATGCCCTGGATATGGCAAGTGAGATAAAAGTAAATTACGCCCACATAAGAAATCAATGGTTAGAGAACGATGTGTCTTTTTGGGAGTGAAAAATTTAAATAGTGTTGAAAACTTGACATCGAACAGTCTTCGATTCTCATCTAAAAGATTAGTGAATTTGTTTTTTTTACTTATTCTTTCACCTTCGATAGTGAGCACGTTAAAATTTTTGTTTGCCCCTAGAGGTAACTATCAAGAACTACAAATGTCCATATGAATTTAGATCAGTGAGTGGGTATCTTCATGCCAAATATAAATAAATACACATACATAAATACAGTTCCCCTGCTAGATAAGCAAAGAGAACGGAACGATACAAAGAAGAATCAAAGTCTTACGCTTATTTGACATGCTTATTTGACATTCATACTTGCTTGCTGGTATCACAAGATTAATTGGATCGTTAAAAGTTTGCCAATAATTTGGCAAAAGACGTAGTTTTAAATATTTCCAAAATATTCCTATGTTTTCTAATGATGTAGTTGTATTGAAATTTATTGTTAATATACCATTAACATTTTTTTTAATGTAGTACTTGTGAGTTATATGAATTCATACTTTTTTTAGATAATTTAGCGGTAAAATTGTCACATCTTTTAGTACATACATCTATGAAATCTTAAAATGCCAACTGACGAAACGTAACAGATTGCCACTTATCCACCCTCGATACAAGCCGCTACAAAAATGTCAGCCCATGCCGATATACGATAATGTACCTACAATATACATTATATGAAATTACCCAATTCGTGAAAACTTCATTGATTCTTGTACTTAATTCAATTCTTGTACAAAATTAATTTAATATTAATTACTCTATCTCTATAATATAAAACTACCTTTAAAGAGTTTTATTACCTGTATCCTCAAAAAAAAATTTTTTTTAAACGTTTCGAATCAAATAAGAAATATAAGAAAGAAGTAATCCTATCTGAATGTTGTACAGGCATTTTTGAATGCTGAACTGAGGCAACAGTTCTCACGGGTTCGATGCTTAGGCAAATGAATAAAAGGTTGACTAAGTTTTAGAACTTGATTTATTAAAGGGTATTTAGGAAGACCCGTTTCTGGGTTTTCCATAATAGGTAGAACTCAGTAGATATTTCACGAAGATTTACATTTACATTTTTCTTATTTAAATTATAACAACTTTATTATTATAAGATTAAATTATCATGTTCTCACTAGATGATTTTTTGACATTCATAAAAGCATATTGGATTACTAAAAATTTCAAATTACGAAAGGTTTGCATAGACCTAGGACAAAATAAAAGGTGGTACGACGCAGTCTCCACAAAGTTATTAAAAGTATAAAAAACTGTGAACTTAATTGTAATGAGATTTTGCACTTAAGATAATTATAATAAATATTTCTCAATTGTTTTGAAGAAATATTATACGTCGTTCGTGAGACTTATTCAGTAGAAGTGAAACATTTTGGCTCTATCTCATAAATTGCAACAATGTCGCACACACTTGTGTAACCCTAGAATCCTAAGCAAGGCTGTTCTCCCTGCAAGGTCAAGGCAGTATCCTGCTTAGCGAGGAAACAGTTAGTTTAAACGTCCCTCCCATTATTATGGAAAAAACAAGTTTCCTCATGTAGGAGTGAAGCATTTCCTTGTAAGCTATATTCGTATAAATTAATTACTTCTATGCTGAACTTAATTTATGGATTTATTCTGAACCAACGACTTAAAATGATGTTCTGCTACTAAGCGTCTCAATTATTGGGAAATATCTAGGATTAAAAATTCAAATGAAATCGTTGACAAACAAAAAGTTACAGTTTTAATTATATTTGATCAATTTTTTATCCACAATTATATACTGGAAAATGCTTGAAAAATACCAATCCACTCTGCCCTAGCACTCTGAGATGGGACTCGAACCCCCATAACCTTTTGCAAACCGGGCAACTGCTCTAACCAGTGAGCTATCCAGGACCGACGAATGACTGACGAATTTTTCAAGCACTTGTTTCTTTTTCGCTACTACAGAGCGTATTTTGCTAAAAAAGCCACTGCTTACCTGGCACTCAGAGATTGGAATCGCACCCATGACTTTTCGAAATCCTGGCGACTGTTCTAACCAGTGAGCTACCTAGGACCTAACAGGACTGACGAATTTTTCAAGCACTTGTTACTTTTTCACTACTATAAAAATAAAAAATACATTAGTCATTCATTGTTAAAACTTACATAATATTCGTAGTATACTATTACAGAAGAATACAACATATATTTATTTATTTTTAGTCAATATCGATAGAAGTATAATATTTAGCTGCAAAAAGGAAACTTAAAAGTGCGATTTTCCAATATATAATTTTCCTTAAATTCGCATGTGTATTTGCCATTGTCATAATTAGAATAAACTAGATGTAGAAACTTAATAGTGCGATGCAGGTACCTCAGCACCATCTCAAAATATTATTTTCGTCTTACCGATTCGATTCGATTCGATTAAATTACTAAACAGACTTATTTTCTCCGCAGCGTGTTCGCAACTTCACTACGTCACTGGACGAGCTATCGTCACGTGTTCAGACTGCGGAGGCCGCGCGTGCATCATGGCGCGGACCCGGTGATGCGAGGGACGCGCGCGCACAACTAGACGCTGTCACAAGATCGAGAGCACAACTACCTCCTTTGAAAAGGCTAGCCGACGAGTTACATGGACAAGCTCAGGCTTTGGCTAGAGACAAAATTCAACTACCTGAACATTTGCTAGCCAGATTAGATGACTTAAATACCAGGTTTGTGTCTTTATTCATTATCGTCTACTATGTCCCCACTGACCTGGAAGAAATAAGGTTATAAACAGCTGTAACTAACCAAAGCGATTTGCCAATGCAGATTCAGCTAGGACCAAAGGCTTTACGTGGTTTTCTGAGCTAGAAAGAGGTCAAAATCATAGTTTTTTTCGATTTCGATTCGATTTTCGATGACCGACCCTCACTCATGTCGCTTAATGTCAAACTCTTTGTGAATTAAGAATAGTCTATCAGATCTCTCAGATTTATTAAATTTGTCTCTTTTTCCAGGGTTGGAGCTCTTTGCGCTGGTGGTGAAGAGCGAGCAAGACAGCTAGCCGGCGTCGCACGAGATGGCGGCGCGGGCGCAGCTCAAGGCTTCCTTGCCGGCTCCGTAGAACCACCTTGGGAGAGAGCAGTTACTCCCGCTAATGTACCATATTATATCAAGTAAGTAGTACTTTTTCAACGTATGATTTTTGTTAATGTAGCGAGAAAGATGTTGTCCGAATGTCCGAACCAGATTAATATAATTAAGGTTTACATAAAATCTAACCAATAATTTCTCTTTTTAGTCACGAATTAGAAACTACCCATTGGGACCATCCAAAGATGATAGAACTGATGAACTCATTAGCGGACTTAAATGAGGTCCGTTTCTCCGCGTACAGAACAGCACTCAAGCTCAGGACAGTGCAAAAGGCGTTATGCAGTAAGTACTTCATCGATTGTATAGTAAATTTATTCTATAACTTAACAATCTATAGTAATACATACTTAATATAAAATCTGTAATCTCTTATCATGTCGAGGTAAAATGCAGTATTTGTACTCTTGATTGCAATAAAATTAGAATTTAAATTAATAATTATCACAAAAAGTGTATTAACATCCTGACATTATTAGAGCAGGTAATGGAAATCCTGAAATTATTTCAAAACTAGCCTTTGCTAGAAAAAAGTGCACAATTTTTTCTGAATATTCACGTTTGTATCCTATTAAAAAACCTTTAAAGTTTAGCTTTTAATTTTCTTGATACCCTCGTTTATCAAGACCATGTTTAAAGCAGACATTCGTTACTCCTCACAGTGCATATGCTGCAGCTGCCAGCTGCTCTAGAAGCCTTCGATGCGCACGGTCTTCGCGCCCAAAACGACAGACTCATCGACATACCGGATATGATCACTGTGCTCACATCTTTATACGAGGTACTACAGTTGTTCTAGATTGCACTTGAAAGACTCTTGCTTTATAATATCTTCCAACTCACAAATAGATGGAAACCAAATATTAATTGCTTTTTTGCCTCATGAAGATGGAGCAATCTCTATAAGTAAATATGGGATACAATTAAAAAATATCGCTTATGTAATCATGCACTGTGTCATTTATCATTATTGACTCCAAAAGTGGCAGCAGAAAATTTTTTGCTTAACTAAAGGATAATATTAAACCTGATAAATTTTATTTATGTCTTAGTCCACTATTGGGTGGAATATATTTTACAATGAGAATCACATCGCAGGTGATAGCAGCAGAAAACCCGAGCCTAGTGAACGTGCCGTTATGCCTAGATCTGTCAATCAACTGGTTGCTGAACGTGTACGACAGCCAGCGCACTGGACAGATTCGCGTGCTCAGCTTCAAGGTCGGCCTGGTGCTGCTCTGTAAAGGACACCTGGAAGAGAAATACAGGTCAGAACTGGAGATTTTAAGTTAACGATACACTGGTCCACTTACTTACTGGACAATACATTTATTTATATTTACTCTGAGTTAATAACTGCTGATATTAATATAACTTTAAATGTATTAAAATGTGATGTGTATTCATAACAAGATGTTGTATGCACTCTATCTGCAGAATTCAACAAGCCTGTGTTCTGGCGTTAAAGTTCTTTACTTATGCAACTATTTTGACTTTCAGATATCTGTTCAGATTAATCGCAGATCCTTCATGTCGCGTGGACCAACGAAAACTTGGATTGTTATTACATGACTGTATTCAGGTAAACTATATAAAATTATTTTATATTATTTTAAGATGATAAAGATATAATTGATACTTTTTGAAAGTACATTCTCGAAGTCCTGATAATTAGACAAACGGAAGATCAGGGAGTATATGATATCACAATAAAAAAAACTTAATCTATAGAGGGAAAAAAAATATATAAAAAAATTGCGAATAATTAAAATGTACGGAATTATATTATACACTCTATACGCCGTAAATGTCAAGTACTCGGCCTTATGTACTAGTAGTCTTACTAAATGAAATAAATTCTAAATGAGATAAAATGTTATAATAATATATAAATTGTGTGTCACCTATCTGATAACCAGCCTCAATGAGATAATGTTCCAAGTGCACATTAATTATCTCGGTACGTCGATTATTAAAAAATATGTTCGTATGGATTTGTTTTATTGGATCCAACAGCATTATAGGCAGAATAAAAAAAAAAAACTTCCCTTTTCATTTTTATTTAATTTTCTATTTAAATAGACTGTACTGCAGTGCTTCGACAGAATTGGGCCAAAACTGCCGCTGAAGTTTTTAACTTTCTTCTAAAGTTATTAACTGTTCCTCTGAACGTTTAATTCAAGTCTTGGGAAATATTTTAAATAACTGAGATGAAATTTCACTTTAAGACGAGGAAGATTTCGTTAAGTTTCCTTCTATTAGCAGAAAATAAAGTAGTATGGCAAAGGTATTACAAAAACCGAAGTGAAGTAAATCGATCAATTATACGATAGACATTTTTATTGATAAAAAAAACAAAAAGAGTACAAATCACCTAGAAGTTTCACCAAGAGTTTGTGAGATATATGTATATATAAAAGATTATTAGGGTTACCGCCTGTTTTCATTTTGATCCCCTGTCTCGGGGAGGCATAGCAATTGGGACATCGATAGTTTTTATGAATAAAAAGAACATTGATAAGCGAGTTAACAAATCTTGTAATGTGCAGGTTCCGCGTCAGTTGGGTGAGGTGGCGGCGTTCGGCGGGTCCAACATCGAGCCCTCAGTCCGCAGCTGCTTCGAGCAAGCTGCCGCCGCACCACAGCCCTCCAGCAAACCAGCTACGCTAGACAGGAAAACACCAGGTGATATTTGACATCGAACACTTTCACCGTTTTTTTCCCATTTGTTTCCGTTGACCCCTTTGAATCCATACGTTATCGGATAGTGAAATAAAATCTCAGTTTTACCATCAGATGGGAGAGAAAGCTGACAAGGATGGCTTGAAGTCTAGCATGGCACCTGATTTCTTTCAAATGTACATAGTTACATGACCATTACAAAAAAAGATTCTTTTGCCTCCCATATTATCAAATAGTCTCATTAAACCATTTTTGGTGAACTGGCAGGATTCCGGCATAATGTCAAATTACACATTTCACCTTTCATGGCGAATCTCCAGTCATCCCAGATTATTGATTTTTATCAAAACTTTACCAATCGTTATCTTATCGATCAGATAAAGACAAAGAAAAGGAGAAAGAGGATAGCAAAGAGAAGCCGTCAGCCTCCCCAAGCGTGGAGGGCCAGCAGCAAGCGGCCGCGTACATCGAAGCGTTCCAGTTCCTAGCGTGGCTGCAGCGTGAGCCACAGTCTATGGTGTGGCTCCCCGTGCTGCACCGCCTCGCCGCTGCTGAACCAGCAAGACACCAGGCCAAGTGCAACATCTGCAAAGACTATCCCATCGTCGGCTTCAGGTATATCACCTGTTACAGCTCTCCGAATTCTTTGTCGAACTTAACCTCAATTCTCTTGATATAATGGAGAATTGAGGCAAAGTCCGACTGCAACACATTACCCATAATATAAAGCATTTATACGTTTATGCTACTCTGCTTATTTGTATTATACTTAATACTCTAACGTAACTATGATACGCCCATGAAAAATTTAATCCTCTTAAATGGTGACGCCCCAATCCGATGAAAGTATGACTGACTAACTAAGCTATCGGGATTTCACAAAGTGTAATATGTTTTTTTTATACTTCCGTAACTCCTCATCAGTCCTTCCCTGGCTCCACTGCAGGGGTTTAGGCCTTTCTTATAGATGGATGGGCCATCCACGCTGACCCAATGCAGATGGGAAGGGTATTAACGACTGCAAATGCAGCTGGGACCAACGGTTTTACTTACCTTCAGGAGCACGAAATAGCTTGAGATAATATTTTTTTTCTTCACCCATCCCGTGACCGATCCTTGCGAAAATAGCTTAACAAACAACGCTCGTGTGTCGCGACGCTTTTCCACTACGCCACCGAACTACTCTTCCGTAACTGGAGCTAAATAAATTCATACAGATTTCAGCTTTAAAATATCCTGTGAAAGTTAATGTAAGGGATTTATTACAGGTATCGTTGCCTGAAGTGCTTCAATTTCGACATGTGCCAGAAATGCTTCTTCAGTGGTCGTAAAGCGAAAAACCACAAGCTCACCCATCCCATGCAAGAGTACTGCACCGCTGTAAGTAATATAAATATTACGAAGCAAAAATGCAAACGTCAATTGTCTTATGGATGTATTGCGTTATTACGCGACGGACAAACCGTCTACAAGATTTACACCGGTTTTAAATAACCTAGAATAAGCCGTAGCTTAACTAGGAAACGCCTATTCTTACAAATCACCTTAGCAGATTTTTAATTTATCTCTTGGCACATTTATGACTGTCATATTACGCAAATGCCTAGCACAAGCCACCGTATAACGACTGTTAAAACTTTGCTTAGTGTCGTTAGGCGTTTTCTAGTCATTGGTGAAATGCATTTTCACCTTCCTAAATATTTAACTGACTCCTAAGTTCAATGAAAACAAGCATGAATGTCATATTTATTTATTCAAATGAAATGATGTTGGAAATTTTCTTAATACTGACAAAAGCTGCCATAATATAATTGATACCAAATATTTAAAAAATAATCTCTATTGTACTGTTGCTTTAGTTATTTACTGTACTTCAACTACTAATTAACTAACATTAGCCTGTCAAATTTCCACAGTTGATTTTGAATTCTATTCCCTTAAAAAAATTTCAGTGAATTTGACAGTTTTGTATAACCTAACGTGCTGCTAACTGCATATCTATATAATAATAGAATTATTTTATTTATTTCTAGACGACATCTGGCGAGGACGTCCGCGATTTCACGCGTGCATTACGTAATAAATTCAAATCTGCGAGATACTTCAAGAAGCACCCGCGAGTTGGATATCTACCAGTACAGACTGTTCTAGAAGGTAAATTTTTGCCTTATGGAGGTATAACCATTCTTCTATGAACAAGTACTTTAATAAATCTCTTAACTATACTGGAACCTTAATAATGCACCTGGAATTTAAAAGCAGTGGTTCCTAAACTTTATTTTTTCGTATACCATTTTTAAATTTCTACCGATTTGATGGATTTCACTTGTTGATACATTTTTGTACTATATTCCTCAACATCGTTAAAATGTGAATATTAGATAGAAATCCGTAGATCTCTTTGGGAATCATGGCTAAGTAGGTAGTCGATACTTTCGCTTAGCATATTTTAGTCAATATTTGGGAAGTCTTTTAGAGTCTAAGAAATATTTTTATAATATAATTTTACCTAGTTTTACTGTGCGGCATATAGGTTTATTTTTTCAATAAAAAAATTGCCCTCCAATAATTTATTTCTGTTTATATTATTCTCAAGAGGTTCCATTATTATTATGAAGTTTAAATCTTGAAATACGATGATAGTTTTGTAATATAATAAATATTTACATATACTATTTTGTTGAAAAAAAAAAAATTGGCAAATGAGTATCTTACGAGGGTCAAACTGAAAGTTCTTAGAACTGGCCACTTATAAACAATATAATAAAAAAATAATTCTAAAATTTGAAAATATAACTCTTTGCCAATATTACTGAGTATATATTTCATTCATTTGTCATTTGTTTTACGATTTGGCGGCAAATTGAAAATTGTCTGTGTCACGTCATCATGAATTTAACACGAGAAAATTTTCGTGCAATGATTTTTTATGACTTTCGATGTCATTTAAGTCAACAAGAAAGTTATGATAGACTACGATTGGCCTTTCACGATGAAGCCCCATCTCGTGCGACTGTTTACAACTGGTTTAATGAGTTTAAACGTGGTCGCACTAATCTCACTGATGATTTACGTGAGGGACGGCCTTCTACGGCGACGACTGAAGATAACATCTGTGTTGTGCGGCGTATGATAGAGACTGACAAAAGAGTGACCTATCAACAGATTCGGACAAGCTTAGGCATCGGTATGAGTCAAGTGCACAAAATCCTCCACGAACATTTAGCGGTCAGGAAGCTTTGCGCCCGGTGGATACCTCATAATTTGACTGAGGCTCAAAAACTCCATCGTGTGGATTGGTGTCGTAAAATGATTGAAAGATTTAACGGAGGTGACTCAAATGCTGTGTTCGACATACTAACAGGTGACGAAAGCTGGATTTACTGTTATGATCCTAAAACCAAAAGACAATCTGCTCAGTGGGTGTTTCCTTTCGAGGAGTTGCCAACTAAAGTGAAGAGAGATCGAAGTGCGGGAAAAAAAATGGTGGCCTCGTTCTTTGGAAGGATAGGTCATTTTGCAACAATTGTGTTAGAGGATCAAAAAACAGTTTCTGCAGAATGGTACACTACCAATTGTTTGCCACTTGTCTTGGAAAAAGTTCGAGAGAAACGACCTCGCAGTAGGATCCTCCTTCACCACGACAACGCCTCGTCGCACACCGCCAAGCGAACGATCGACTATTTGGCGACATCAAACGTTGAATTACTGGGTCACCCGCCGTATAGCCCCGACCTCGCGCCTTGTGGTTTTTATTTATTTCCAAAAATTAAAGAAAAACTTAAAGGAAAGCTGTTTATGAATGCTGAAGAAGCGGTGGCTGCGTATCGCGATGCCATTGAAGAGACCCCTAAGGACGAGTGGGCAAAGTGCTTTTCCCAGTGGTTCCATCGCATGCAGCGGTGTATTGACGTGAATGGACAATATTTTGAAAAGATATAATAAAACTAATAACTGGGTAATGTAATCAGTTTTTGATTTTCTAAGAACTTTCAGTTTGACCTTCGTATAATGCGAAGGTAGAAATAAATATTGGCGACAAGTAATATATGTTCGTATGTTGGGTACAGGCGACGCGCTAGAGTCTCCGGCGCCGTCGCCGCAACACGGGGGCGTGGGCGCTGGGGGTGGGGCGGGTGGCGCGGGGGCGGGGTTGTCTGCGGACGACATGCACTCGCGGCTGGAGCTGTACGCAACTAGACTGGCGCAGGTCGAACGTGCGAGACTGCCAGATACGCCAGACAGGTATAATAATTAATAAACCACCGTAATAGTCAAACATGTCCGGACATGTACGTACTCGGTATAAGTGTAACCATAGCTATAAGAACGTTCTATTGTTTATATCAATGAATTAGTTAATCATCATCATCAGCCCTTTTAAGTCCCCACTGCAGGGGCTCAGGCCTTCCTTATGGCTGGCTAAGGATGATGGGTATTAACGACTGCAAATGCATCCGGGACCAACGGCTTAATGTGCCTTCCGAAGCACGAAGTAGCTCGAGATAATATTTTTTTTTGGTCACCCATCCCGTGACTGACCCTTGCTAAAGGTGCTTAACAACAACGATCGCGTGCCGCGGCACTTACTATACAATGTTCTTGTTTTATTATTTACATATTTAATCAATAGTTTTGGTTGTTTTGGCTTACTTAATTATTAAAGTTAGATAAAATTTTGAAAATTTCGAATTTTGACACACAGCTATTTCAAATAAACCAAAATGTTTGATTAAATATATTAATAACAAAAAAACATATAATTTAAAAAGAATATCAACAGATTCATTTATTTGATGACAAAGATAGCAGTAATTTAATAATTGTAGTTATTAAATAAGTTAATGTGTGATTAATAAAAATTATAACTTTGAAATGTATACCTACATGACCCAAGAAAATATTTAAATTAAGATTATAATAACTCAGATGTGTTCTAATGTCCTTATTCTTAAACAATATTTCCATACCCTTGTTTTGTGAACGCGCGGCCGCACGTCACGCTACCCACCATCACCATAAACAGACCTATGTTAGTAGAGAAGTCTGACGTGCAGCCTTGTGTACTTTTTATATTAATTACTTTTATATTAATAATAACAAACTTCAACTACCAATAGGTAAATAATCCGAGACAAGAGACGCTAGTACCTAGTAGTTTGAAGATAACCACGCTCAACCATTAGATACATTGTTGATCGATGCCATTGTCTCTCGTATGTGTATTTCTAGTAAGAGTGATTTATTCTATAGTGACGAAGAGCATCAGCTGATCGCACAGTACTGTCAATCATTGAACGGCAACGGCGGTGGTGATGGAGAAGATGCCCCGCGGTCGCCTGTACAGGTGGTCTCCATCATACACAGGGAACAACGGCACGAGCTCGAAGCCATGATAAGGTAATTATATAATACCGTAGAACAACACTGTTGTTGGTATCAAACGCAGGGCCAGTCCGTCTATATAGGTAAACTAGACGTTGGCAGTGCCTAGTAGGGGCGGACTAAGCATAAGCTGTTGCCTAGTATTTGGGGGATGGCATGGCAAACAGAATATGTTTGAAATACAGTACCTTTAATAAATAGACTTTCGTTCTTTGAACATGACTCCATGTCCGCGGTATTCAAAAGTACATAATTTTTGGATTAGCAAGAACTAAGTAAATATTCACTTTTAAACTCTCGCGCTGCATTATACTTATAAAAACGGTTGAGTCCTCTCTGTCTTCCATTTCCATATTAGATTCCATTGATGATGTAGGCCTGTGCCCCACAATTGAAACTTTAACAGACTGACGTGACGAGAGTATTATAAGGACTACGTAAACTTTGACTATCCTATATTTATCAAAGCCACGAAAATCTGACGATTAAGGACTCTGAGAACAAATGCTGATGATTTAAAATAGTTGTACATTTGATATCACTAGACAATCATTGTTTCAGAGAATTGGAAGAAGAGAATGCAAGTCTGCAGGCAGAGTACGAGCGATTGAAAGCGAAACAAACACCTGGATCCACACCCGAGGAGCTTAGCGCTGGAGAGAACAGAAACGCACCTGTTGATCAGGTATTCATTTTATTGTTATGGAAATAGAGTTTACTTTTAAATAAATTGATGTATTCATGAATATTTGAATATAAATGACTGTATTTTCCTGAAAGAAACTACCATCAATACCACAGAGATATTTTAAGACAGCTTGTATTTCTTTCAAGATAAAAATGTGTCTACTTTTAATTTCTTCAAATGGAATATCATGGTTTAATTTTGTTTACTGAAACTAGACTTAATGAAAAGAAATGCTGCTAAATAAGTTACTTTTCTATACAAATTGATTGATAGAATGATTGTTTATTTATATTGAATAGGTTCTACTGAACCTATTTTATAACACAGGCTATAATTAACGCGGGCGAAGTGGCGGAAGCAGCTAGTTTACTATAACATGTTAGACTAATTTTATGGCAATCGAAGTATGGCAGAAATCTTTTCTTGTAGCAAATATTGAGATGAGTTTGTGTATTGTTTTGTAGGATATGATGGCGGAAGCGCGGCTGCTGCGGCAGCACAAAGGTCGGTTGGAGGCGCGTATGCAGATCCTCGAGGAACACAACCGCCAACTCGAAGCTCAGCTGCAACGACTGCGTCGCCTGCTGGACGAGGTAATCTTACTTCTTATACCATTTACTTGATAAAAAGAAAATCACTATGTTAACCCTAAAATTCCTTTCAGTTCAAAATCACACTGATATTATCATAATTCATTAACATTTTTTTACAATTCTATTCGAATGGTACAAAAGCAAAGTAAAATAAAAATTCACAAAAAAATATATAATAAACAAAGGAAGCTAATTGTATAAGTCCTAAAAGCTTATTACTCGCTAGTGAGTACGCCTATCGATATTTATTAGTTACAGAAAATTATAATGTTTTAGATATAGTAACTGTATAGTGTAAATAAATATATAATATGAAATGTATATATATAGTAAGTAGTTAATTAGAAAGTAGCCTAGAGGCGCGTTGCTTTCGTATCATTTAGGTGCAACGTACATACATTAAATTTTAATTTGGTTATAATGCACAGCCGGGTACTGCGGGTTCGCCCACGTGTCGCACGGGCACACTACAGACGAGGTCAGTGACCGCGTCACAACTCGCCACCGACTCGCCCGCCAAGATGCACAACGGACTCTACCACGACAATCATACCAGTCAGTATACTTATAACATTTAATAGTATCAAACCGATATTTAAAATAATGGTTATCTGTTTTTAGTTTTCGTTTTCACGGCTAATTGTAAGCTGTCATTTTAGTCTGACAGCAAAGAAAATATAGTTCGCTATATATTTTTTAGATTCGTTAAACATTTGTTATATTATTAAATTTATTATTCGTATTAAGAAGAATTTCTTTTTTACTAAATATATGAAATTGACGATTTTTGTCGCAACGTTAATGAAACACGTCGTCATTTTGTGATTTCGGATTCGATTAGAAATGTCAGCTCACAGAATGCGTTGAATTTTAAAATATAAATATCTTCGTTGCTTTTTTGCATACCTTACACCCCGTAATTAAAGCGCAATGAGGACTAAGATGGCCATCTGACAGTACTATTCTTCATATCTATTCGTTCAGTATAAAAGAGCTACGAAGTACGATCTTTCACGAAAAGTTAACTCTATTCAAGATGGAGTCTTCCAGGAACCTCAACACGAATCTGTTTTTTCAACCGAAAAAGTCGCTACATTAAAAAAGTTCATCGATTTCGAGTAGGCATATTTTTATGATAGTGCTTCCATGAAAACACGTAAAGCTTGACGTCAGTGGAGTGTTAGTAACATGTCGTGTTGTGACGTAAGATGGTGGTGGTCGGTATGGAGGGGGCGGGGGTGCAGAGAACGCGCGCGGGGGTGGGGACGGCGTGCGCGTGGAGGGGGAGTGGGAGGCGCGACCGCCGCCGCCGCCGCACGCGCTGCATTCGCTCATGCACTGCGCAGGTCAGCATCACAACAACCGCTAAATCGCATTACGCTACATTGCGCGCACATCCTATGATTTTGTACTAAACCGTGCACACATAACGAAACGCGAACTAAACGTACGCGTACAGTTTTTAGTACAAATCTTTATTTTTATTATCATTTGAAAAGAAGTTTATTGATAGTAATAACTCGGAAACACTTAAAAAAATATTCACTATTTTAGTGTTTTATATTGAATCACGCCAGTTCAACATGTTGTAAAACTTTTACACTCTATTTTAAATATTCGATTTTTAAAAACATATTTATCGACTGCACGATTTTAATTTTTTTTCTGTAAATAGTCGACATAGCTATTTGTTTTATTCTTTTAAAAAAAAATTATAACTGATGATTACAAGAAAATTGCGATTTAGCGGAAACTGTCGTGTGTTTAGAGTGATGCTTGGTTTTTGTTTTCAGATTGTGTTATATTTTTTCCCACGTAGATGCTGTTTTTAATGCACCGAGTGCCTTTAGTTTGGTTATTTTTCTCTTAAATTTACCTATTTGTTTTGTTATGGTTCGTTGTTTATGGTGTCTTGATTATTATGGTTAGTTGTTTGTTTTGTTTGATTATTATTTTTGGTTGTTTTTTGGCGTTTGGTTGTTGTTGTTTTTACTTGTGGCGTGCATGAGTATGTTATTATCGACTTTGTGCGTTTTATAATCTTGTTTACTTTCTGTTCATGCATACACAACAGGACGCATACCTTGAGGTAACTTATAATTGTTCGTCACATACATAATTATATCTTTAATATAGTCAATATGTAGTATAATAATTCTCTTTTTGTTAATAAATTGACAATAAAAAGAGTCCGTCGTCTGTTCGTTAGATAGATTATTGAAGACGATTTTTTTTTAATTATTTGTGTAATCAAAAATTAGTGCGATATATTGAAGTGTCACATGACATCACGCCTTTGTACATTTTCTACATAGTTGTAACGTAGCCCTCAACTTTAATGCATATCTAAGCCATTTCTTGTTATAATCTGAATGACAGACATTTATTTAATATCAATAAAGGAAGGCCTTTAAAGAAAGTTGTATCATTATAAAATTTTCAAATCTTATAACTACACCCTTTAATTACCGTATAAACAAAATTACTAATATTAATATGGTAGGGATTACAAGGATCTAGAGAAGGCCAACTGGGTCATTTGCCTCTGACGATGGCAGTTTTAGACATTAACTTAATAATGTTACCTCATAAGTGCATTTCTCATTGCAAAACTAACGTAGTCTTAAAATCTGACACAAAGTAGATCTTTTCACACTTTCACATGTGAAACTTGATATTTAACATGACACTATTTGAACAGGACACTAATTTAAGTTTTAAACTTAATTAGATACTTAAAGTAGCCCTAAGCCGAAATTTAACTTAAATTATAAAATTTACTAAATCTAAAGATCTTGTATTATACCTACAGATCTATAGCGCCCAGAACCGAAAGGGTCATGTTTAGTGTTAAACTCTTAAATTAGTATTAATATTTGTGTCACATAAAATTATTATAAAAAGACTGCATTTCAAAATCAATACACATCACATTTCTCTTTTTTTTTCAGATGACTTAGGCCGAGCAGTCGAGGAGTTAGTGTCAGTGATGACGGAAGACCAATCTAACAACGCCCCACCACAATACACCAACGGGAAGCCGACCAACAACGAGTAGACATCGACACCTCGGTGCTGCCAGTGTTGCCACTTAAGGCACATTTTATATTTCGAACTAGCAACACTGTCGATGTAAAACTTACGCTTTACACTTTAAGGTGCTCATATAGCATTTTGTCTGTACTTGTTATTAGTAAATTACTTTGAGATATCGGTATGTACTCAATATCTGTATATATCTGTACAGATGACATGTATTCTAATTGAGCAACCTTACAATGGACACAGAATCGCTATCATTAGTTCACTGTAGCCACTACTCGATAGTAGCGCGATGTGATCAATTAATATAATGGTAATTGAAATAAAAGTTATATCATTATTAGCAATTCTGTGTCCAAAAATATTACTAATTTTCGACTCGTCACTAACAAAACCTGCACTGTATAAACCTTATTATACAAAAAAGCATTATTAACATTCCATTCACACAGTAATTCTTGACAGGCTTTTGTCAAATTATATAGTATTCTCAAGTGCCTGAAGGCTAAATAGAACTAACCATACGATATTGGATTTAGTTCATGATAGCTACCAAATAGAGACGATTATCGTATGCAACGCTTATTGTATGAATAAGGCTGATTGTTGCAGTACGTATCGTGATTGAGTCGTCCAAACTCTTTTTTTTTTCATTTTCTATTTTTTTCTTGCAAGCAACACTGAACGTTCTTTTTTTAGAATGCAAACACCGTCGACAATGTTGCCAGAACGAAAAAGTCCAACGAAAAAGACAGCTAACAAAGCATTTATACTTATATTTATGATAATTATAAAACAAACACTGTACCAAATTATACTTGATACTTGTCGATACTAACACTTATTTTAAGTACATATCTACTAGTACAATCATATCACTTCTTGTAAATTTCCATATCATTTTTTAATCTGTGTATAAACTGGCACGTGTATAATAAATGATCACGAGAAAACGCAAGTCAGTCATTGGTTTAGTCGAAGTCCAAAGATCAAGGCAAAGGAATCCGAGTCTGCCATGTTTTATGTTAAGAAAAATGACGTTTCAACATTATCAAATGAAGTTTTTGTATAAAAACTAAATTAATACATGTTTTAATATACGTCATTAGAAGGCAGACGTGCAGCCGAAGCTTTAAATAGCAAATGCTAGCTTTAAACCCTGTATTGAGACATTTTACGCAATGAACAAGTGGAGCAGGGGCCTAAGATTATAGTGGAAACTGTTATATTTAGATAATATCCAGTCTTCAACATACAATGTATATGCCATTCCAATATGGCCGTAGTTAAAAATGGTTCGTTAAACACAGTTTCTGAACGTAGATGTAGTTAGTAGTGAAAAAAACTATCAGGCATGTTATTCAAATGCATGTTTGTGTATTTACTATTATCGCGTTATAAAAAATGTATCTTTAGAGAAGAAAACTATATATTAATACGACTAATCGAGCTGCTTTTAAGCGCATAGTGTTGGTTCCTTCGGTTGAGAAGTGTTTCGGACTGTCAAATAGGGTTTCTTCTTAGCGACTAAATAAAAAAAATGTAACCAAAACCTTTTCACTATTGCAAATGGCATGACGACACGTTTTTACTTAGGTTAATGGGTGGACATGACCATTTTTATGTCCCGTTCATGTATTTCGACGATTTGTAATGTGTGTCTGATAATTAAGACGCTGCCTACAATTTTATAGTTAAGAGTATATTGGAGAGATGACTTTTATACGAACGTTAAGTAATCTGTTGACGCTAACCATAATTTTAAGGACTTCCCATTTAACCATATCATGGTTTTTTATTTATTTTTATTTTTAGATGTAATGCGACCGGGATTTATATTTTTCATTTGGCTACACCGGGAATTTTGTACAACTCGCGACTACTTATTTTTTTTCATTCTTAATTATTTGGCTAATATAGTTTTTAAGAAAAGAAAGCACAATTATTATTTTAGCGAAAAAAATGGGAATTAAATTTATAACACTAATATA